AAAAAAAGAAAAAAAAAAGGGGGGGGGGGTTTTTAAAAATTTTTTTTATTTTTTTGGGGGGTTTAATGGGGGGGGGGTTTTTTTTTTTTTTTGGGGGGGGTTTTGGGGGGGGGGGGGTTTTTTAGGGGGGGGGGGGGTTTTTTGGGGTTTTTAAGAAAGGTTGGGGGGGGGGGGAGGAAAAAAAATTTGGGAAGGGTGGGGAAAGTTTTTTTTTTGGGGGGTTTGGGGGGGGGGGGGGGTACGGGGATTTTTTTTTGGTTTGGGGGGGGGGGGGGCGTGGTCCGGCCGCCTCTGTTGATGTTGCCGATGCTGCTGTGTATCGGTGGTGTTCGCATGTCCTGTTTTTTTCTTTTATAGTTTTGGCGTCACTGTCGCTGCTGTTTTGTTGCGATCAACTCCTCTTGCACGAGGCCGTATTGCACCACGCCATATGGGCAAGCAGTTCTTTTCTTTCATGTACCATTGATTTCTGCTGGTTTCGTGTTCTTTGGTCAGGACTACCCTTCCGTGGAGCAAGTGGAGTACGACACCTACGACCAAAGTACCGATGACGGGGGAAGGGTGTTGGAAGATGATGACAGCGATGACGACGACGATGACGGTGAGATTGCTGCTGTCTATGACGCGCGGTAACAGGTTGGCGTGCTGTCTATGACGCTCGGTTTCCTCCTTAGTAGTTCACCTGTCTCCTGCATCTGGTAGCTTTCGTCCTTTCTTCTATTCTAGACGGAAATGGGCCTGGATGTGCCTACCGTGGGGTCTTGTGGTGCTTTGCTCGCGGTGACACTGAGCAAGTCACCTGTTCTGTCTCTGGCGGGCAGCTTTTATCCCCTTTGTTCAGTTTTGTTCACGGGAGTACGTGTCTTGTGATCTAGTCTTGATTTGTCTCGGGTGGCACGTTTTCTCCGCTCTCGACCAAAACAAATGTATACAGCCTGGGGAGGGCGTGATCAACGGGCCCGATCACCAGCGGGAGGCAGCGTAGAAGGTACGGGAGCGTCAGGAGGAGGAGCAGGCGGTGAGAACGGCGCAGCCGCCTCCAATCCGGCCAAGAGGCGAAAGCGCTCCTCCGGCGGCGCCGTCGCCGGCGATGGTGGTGGTGGGGCTAGCAGTAGCGGCGGGGCTGCCGATGGCGGTGGGGCTAACGTGGGCGAGGAGGTAGAGGAAGGGTTCGAAGACATGCCACTCTCTTCCGCGGGGAAGGGGAAGAAGAAGGGGAAGGGGAAGCCGGGCAAGAGCAAGCGCGGCGGGGGCAGCAGCAGCAGCAGCAGCAGCAGCAGCAGCAGCAGCGGCGGCGTCGGCGATAGCGGCGGCAACCAAGGCGCCGGCGCGGGGGCGGAGAACGGGACGAAGAAGGAGGCCAAGGAGCGGGAGGGGGAGGCCCGAAAGGAGGAAGTGGTGGCGGGGCTCATGGTGCGAGAGAGGTATGTGGACGCGCTGCGCGTGACGCAGTGTAGGCGCAGCAGTATCGTCTGGTTGTCATTTTTTGAGAGGATAAAAGGGGGTCGGGGTTGAGGCAGTTCTTGCCATCCGAGGGGACCCCTAGCGGGCGCATGAAAGTACTCTTCGAGACACACACACGCCTCCTCGCCCATTTTAGTGTGTTATTTTTCTTCTTCTGTACTCCGAATCACGCCGAAAGGAATTGCCAATATTGACGGCTTTAACCACCACAGACACATGGACGTATCTACTTATCCATACGAATCTAGGTACCATGCGGTGGTGATTAAGCTGGTGGCCAGGTCGAAGTGGGCATCGGAACCCGCGGGGCGTGCGCACAAGGACGTCATTACGAGAGCAAGAGAGGTCATCATGACCATCTTTATAGACTCCTTCCACCGGTAGGAAAACTGGAGGTGTTTTTCTCTTGGGATAGGGGTGGTTTCCAGGCGTGTTTAGCGATGAGAGACTAGGGGTGCGGGGATGTGAAATGCCGCCGCCGGAGTGGAGAAAAATGGGTGTGGTCGCTGCCGTTTTCGTCGTTTCCTCTCGACCGAGAGGGTTCGTTCTCTCTCGCTTGTGTGATGAGTGGTGAGTGCTGATGCAGAACCATGCGCTCACGTCTGCGGGGGGATACGCAGTTAGGAAGGTTGAGGGGGTCCTTTGGAAGGCGGGGACAAGTGCCGTTCGTACGGGTTGGGGCACGTGCACACACGCAGGAGGAGACAGACGGGTCCTCCTGGGTAAGACTCTGAAACCGCCGTCTTTTTCTCATTGGTCAAGCTACCTGGCGAGGTCGAAGCAAGAAACACAGACACAACACATGGGTTCCCAGATCGTAGCTGCAGAAGCGTTTCCCGTTTTTTGCCCGCACTGCGGCTGAATGACGCGTTTTCAGTGGTCAGCTGGTTAGCGCGGTCGATGCTACGGTACTCATTCACACAGATCAGAAGTATTGATGTTTTCAGTTCACACTGACACTAACACCTATTCATTGGTCAGCGGGTTATTTGCGCTGTCGGTGCTACAGTAACAATGATCACATACGCGCACTTTTATTCGTGTGCGGCCGCGCACGTGCGCAGGAGGCTGCTGTCTCTGCACAGACTGGTGACGTCCCTGGACCAGTTGGACCGGATGATCGCTTGGGCGGACGACGTGGAGGAAGGTGTCAACGCAAAGGAAGCAGGAGTGCTCGGTCCGGGGATGCCGATGAGCGAGATAGGCCTTAGTGAGTCAGCCAATCCGTGTATGCTACTGGCGCGAGCTGCAGTGAAACGATTTGTTTCTTGTTGCGCCTGTTAGACCCGTGTTCGAGCTGCTTGGAACTTGTTGAAAAACGTTATGATGCGAAAATGCGTCTTGCAGAGCTGTTTGGGGGGCTGGGCACAAAGCACAGGGTCGTGGAGGAAAGCAGGAATACCCTTGCCGATGAGTGTGCGATGTGTTTGAGTGATATTTGAAAGTGTGGTCTGGCCAAATTTGTTTGGCCTTTGGTGTTTAGGGCTGCCTTTTGGTGTTGATTTGATCCAACTCTGTCTCAACCTCCGCCCCTTGGCTGTAACTTCCAATGACACAAGTGCTTCAGGTCAAGGTTCTTCAGTTTCTTGCTTGGAAAGGGGGGTTCGTTTACCATTTTCCAAAGCGACCCACGGTGAATGGGAACCGTGAGCGACGGAAATCGACAATTTTTCCTTCATGCAGAAACAAGAAAAATGTTGGAGCCAGACTGGACTGGACCTTCGTGGTGGCTCACTCATTAACTTTGAGACGGACTGCTTTCACTTGAACCCGCCGAGTGTAGGAGGCGGCGCGTATACGCACCCCACAACTTGATTCTCACGCGATCTTGTTTTCCTTTGGCCGCTTCCATCGCTTCCCTCCCTACCCGCTGCTGCCTTTTCCGCCTCGGTGTTTTCTCCCCTTGTCTTTTCGGACGCCGTTCTTCTGCTGTGGATTCTGGGGGTCGACCCGGGATGCTTGGTGTTTTTTTCCCGGAACGCTTCCGTAACGTATCTACTGCTTCTGCTTCGATTGCTCGCGGGACGTCCCATATTGACTTCACGGAATATCTGTACGTGATCCGCAGCCAACATCGCGCTCACCGTCCCGGAATAACTGCGGGTGTGTCTTTGGCATACCGTAGTTCGTATTTTAAGGTGCGCCCTGTCCCTGTTTCTCCAGCGGTTCTTTCCATGGTTTGTTGGAGTGCGAATACCGTCCTCTGTTCCTTTTTTTTTCGGGTTTTCATCGTGTGTCATCGAAGCATGAGCGAGCGATGTGTGCGATCGCGTAGAGCGCCCGGAGGATGATGATGGCTGTTTGAATGCCAACCCGGAGGAACCAGTGCCTAGCAAAAGAGCGCAAGCAACACCAACCGGTGGGGGGGGCGTGTATCGCGGTGGACCTTTTTTCCGATAAGAGTGAACTTGAACGTGTTTACATGGCAGTATGGCAACGTAGGTGAGATGCACCTCCATGGGTTGCGTTCTCGGGTATGGCGTGCTCGTGTCCAAGGAGCGTGTGCAACGGTGGGGCTCCTCATGTCACGCCCCCCCCCCTACTTCGGAGGAGAAAGTTTTCGACTCATTGTTTCGCCCTTGCACACCGAGGGACGTAGTTTGTGCGACTCGCAAGGGACAGCGGTGTCCGAAACGCGTAGGTGAAGAACTTGTTTGGTCCCAAACCTGTGCTTTGGAAAAGCTCGTGACAACGTCGTTCCATCACGACAATGATGGCCACTTCATTCCCGCTGTAGAATAAACCTCCTAGAAGAGGGTCGCTAGAGGAGAATGGAGCACAGGGAATTCGGTGGGGGTGATGCTTGTAGCCATCTGCGATAGGTCAGGCCAAGCGTTGTGTGGCGTTCTCTTAGATGAAGGCAGCGAAGTGAATTGTGGCGATGGGTTCGCGCGGGGTCTCGTCAGCGTAGTCGAACTTAGGGCGTGTTGAGGAAGCAAGTAGTCAAACATTGCCACGAAGATAGGCCCTGTGTTATGTATGCATAGGCTGCGGTTGACCGGAGAAGCCGGCATGAGCGTTCTATCTCAGGCGATCATTTTTTTTTTTTTTAGGTATTTACCAACAAGCAATATGTACCATTGCTTTGGAGTCGAGGGGGCTTGCTTGAGCTGCAAGTTTGGAACTTGCTTCTGTGTAGCATATAATGGGGCCCCGTGTCGTGGTCGCGGTAGGAGATCGGATATATGAATAGAATGAACGCGCTTATTGGCTATCGACTTCCCGGGCACGTGTAGCGGTACAAAGAATACAGTAGGGGACTATAAAATTACAGTGATAAATAGTGCACCAACCAGCTTCGATTCTTGGATGGTTTTCCTACGGTGGTCCCCATGTTGCGGTGATGCATCCACAGAGAGAGTTGTGTGCCACTCATGCCGTGAGACCATGAGTCCTCCCGCTATCTCATGGGTGTGTGCTACCTCTCAGCTTTTAGTCGTCATGTGTTTGGACACGTTAGGGTTGTTCCTTTTTGGCCAGGACGCGATGAAGACAAAGCAGCTGTATCGACATATTCTTAAGTACAGAGGCGGCTACGATTGCTAACACCAAGAGGATCGACATCCATAATACCAGTCAAAATTACTAGCCAAGGCCGGCCATGACATCCATAATCAGAGTACGAGAACTGTTTCGGTCGACTCGGGGGGCATCGAAACAACAGCGATCTGCCTAACAGCGGTAATGCTTGGTTGAACGGTGAAACACCAGGTTCCCATTCGATTCAACCGTCTCTGGGACGGACGTTAAAAGCAGCAGCAGCAGTAGGCCATGCTTGAAATTCAGTAATTCAGGCCTGATGAAACGTTGTTCTTGGTTTGAGTGAGTGAGTGCGCCAAACCTGTTGTTACGACTATTCCAACGTGTTTCATGCATACTACCAGCTGAAAAAGATATAACGAGCGCTATTGGAGGGTTCAATAAGCAAACCAGCTCATACATGCATAATATGTAACAGCTAAAGAGCGTTCTTGGAGGGTCCAATTAGCACACCAGCTCCCCGCTGTCTCGGTCAACACGAACAATCTCGTAAGCCGTGGTGGCGACGTCCTCTGCGGCCACGCCGAACTTGGCATTGACGGCGTACAGAGAGTTTCCCTTGCGCATGGCAGTGGTCTGAGTGTCGAAGAGGGGGTTTGATAGCGCGCGGGGGGCCAGTGATCCGCAAGACAGGTCCGCCGCAAGAGACACCTGTTTAGACACACGTAACCGAAAAAAGGGAGGCAGCGAGAAAAATTGTTTGTGGGTTGTTGTTATGTACATAAGGCGTGCTTGTAAATTGAGCAAATTGTTGCCCTTTCGGATCGAAGAGGGCGTGGACCGCTCCCTTGCAAAATATGAGCTCGAAAACAGCGCTCCGTCATCGCAAGTTACTTGGTCACAAGACAGTTATCACCACCTGAACTCGTTGTGGGAAAACGTCACCCGAATCATGCACCTTGGCCAACGAAAATTATCTCAATTTGGCGAAGGAATTACATGATTCCCGGCTGATGTACCTTGACCGTAAGCTGCGGAGGGTGGAGGCGCAAGTGACTTTATGGTCCAGGAATCCAGCGTCATCATGCGCCCTTGAAATGTACACAACTGTACAGTAGTTCATGCACATTTGTTGCAGCTTCTACAACAGCGAGCTTCAATTTGTCCCAGTCGCGGGCTCCAGGTACCAGCCTACTGTAGTAGTCTAGTACTGCACCGGTAACACAAGCGAGCGACAACGAGCGAACTGCCACGAAACCGACATTATCCCAGCCGGCCCTTCGAACCACATCAACACAACAACAACATCATCATCAACAACAACAGTATGACTGGGAGGGGGGTAATCCAAGCGATAGAGACCATCAAAAGGTTGTGGACACCACCGTGGAAGAGAGTGGAGAGTTGTCAACTTCGCGATGGGTGGGAGTCGGTGGACTGTGTGCCACCTATGAAAGAAGGCTGACAATCGGAGTGAAAAGCCTCAATGCCATGCCATTTCGGCCTGAAATCGCCCTCTTGCGTTCGGAACGTCTACTAGGTACTTCGGAATGTTTCATGAAGGCTGCAGCTATTACAGAGTAGGTCGGCACTTGAAAGCTCACCTCCAATATTTGTTCGAGTGCGTTGTCGACGACCCAGAGCGTATTTTTTCGCAGCACCTAAAAACATTCGTGCGCAGCAGGTGGATCGGGAAGAATTTGTATTTCATTCGGGCTCACGGCGATCGCACCCGGTGTGCCTTCTTCTATGTAGACGTTTCAGCATGATTACTTCCTTCCCAGGCCGTATCAAGCAGACACCTACTTGTAAACACTCCAAGCAAAATAAGTAACATGGATCCCCTCACCAGTCCATCGCCCCTGCCAGGAAGGAGCTCGCCTCCGAGGTCGATCAAAGTTGCAGCACCGGTGTCGGGGTCGACGGCGAACAGCTGCTGCGATTCCATGTTGACAATGACTAGCGCGCTGCCGTCGTCTGTGGCCTGAGGACAGTTGCACCAAAGAATGGGAACGATTAGGAGGATATTCAGCTTCGTGGAACCGGCAAATTTCACCGTGAATGGGTGGCGAACCCTGCAACTTCGACGGTTGGGATCGATTCGCCCGAATACTACTGGACATACGTACGTATATACCATTCTCGATTGATGACAACGCGCGTGGCGATTAGAAAAAACTGTATCCCTACTCGTCTTGGGGGCGCACAATCACGTGTTCACTGCAGCCACATCCTGTTCCTTATGGCTAAGCTTGGCCGTTGTAGTTGGGTCCCGCAAATAAAGCCGTGGGGCTCGACGGACAAAGGCCATACCTTACATGGTCAGACTATCACTCTCTGGGTACTCTGTCACTGGATAGTCTAATAGATTACATAGTGGGTCAAAAGGTGTGTACCTTGGGCTCCTTGACCCTCCCAGCTACTGTATTGATCTCCGGGGCCGGACTCACCGCTATGCGCTGTGCCATGCGCTGCTGGGAAAGTCTCAACGGGGTCAAACAATTGCCGTAGCTGGGAATCGAAACCGCGTTCAGATCTTTTGATCGAATAAGGCTATTCCATTGGACTACTCGGTGAGCGTTGACTGGGTAGCCCGACGGATTAGCCTCTATCGATCATAATTTTCGTGAAAAATAATCGAATCTTGTAGTCTCAGGTCTTACTCATTTCTAATAATTTCATTGACACGATGGCACGAACGTAGTACCACTGTAATAGTACTTTTTCTTTTAGGGCGATGGCGACAAAGCACGAGGAGGTACAAAAAACAGATTGCGATTATTCTCTCCGCTGCACACCTGAACCTTGTCTTACGGCGAAGGGAATGCAAGGAGCGTTCCAACTGCTGCGCATGCGCACGTGCGATGTTAAAGCGTGAGGGGCCAAACGTTTGCAAGCGCAGATCGTATCGCACGTCAACCTCACACGTTAGAATGGAAACCATTATTCCGGGTCACTTGCTTTCGCACGCGCTATACTGAGGTATGGTTGCGGTTCTCACAGATTTGGGCTGTGCCCTTTCCGGCATGTCGCTCACCTCGATGCCGTTTACATTGAACGCGCCTTCCAACACGGGAACGTTGTCGCTGAGGACGAGCGTGTGGACGGCCAATCCATCCACCAACGCACCGGTCTCCCTGTCGAGGTTCACCTGTGGACCAACCAACGATTAATCCGGCTGTAAAACAAACTCAATACGCTGTACCCGAGGTCGTTGTAGACATACGTGGTCTAATCAGTGGGAGATAACTTGCGCGGTCACTGCCTGACTGACCCCAAGAAGGCGCCTGAAGAGGAGAATCAGACAACCTGAGAAGACAATAAATGACCCACAATTCGCGCGGAAAGACGAGAAACGAGAAAAGAATGAGTACCTCACAGAGAACAGGCACAGCTGAGTGCTCCGAATCACAAACGAAGGCAAAGAACTACACAAGGTGGGAATTGCAATGAATACCACAACCACGAGGGTTGAATGATACCAGTACTGAGGTGCGGGCAACGTTATCGCCAGGGATTTGTGGGCTGGGCCAGCGCCAGCACCAGCGCCTAGAAACGTACGGGGTTTGTCTTGACGCGAACGAGTATTTGCGTTTAGGTCAGAGCATTAAGTGGCACACCCAAAGCAGGTGATCCAGACATCCCGGTGTTGCTTTGTTGAGACCTACCTGATGGAAAGTGGAAGCAAACCCTAGGTCACTATTTCTAACAACTACAACGAACATGGCGGTACTTTAGTTGCATGTACTTCCCGCCACCTAAAGTAGCACGCTATCCAACAAACAACGACAACGACAGAATTTCAAACAGGATAGTCGGGGCTACAAATGAATCCAAATTCGGCGTGAAAAATGATAGAGGAGCCAACCCTGACAACATGTTATAACTTCACGTCATAACTTCACACAGCCGATCATTTTCTTTCTCTCTACTGTGATACGAGAGAACCCCACTCGGATAGAAATATTGTTGAGAGCCCACCCTCCCTGCTGCCAACGCGCTTTTAAGGCTTGACGCCATGTGGTTGTTTACAGATTCTTGCCGCGCCGAACGAAAATCGTTTCCATTCTACGCGGTGTTCTCTCTTGTATTCACGGTAGGGAGAAGGACATTGATCGGCCGTGTGAACGCAAACTTGAACATCTTATCAGGGCAGACTCCTCCGCCCATTCTAGTGTCGAATTTGAGTTCGTTTGTAGCCCCGGCTTTACCGTCGATACGTTTTTCTCTTCAATGTAAACGGTGGAAATATTGCTCGAATTTGGAGAACCGGGCGTTGCCGACGGGACACGTTGAGTCCCCACCCGTCCGTGTGGGTATTACCCGGATTTTGTTGGGCAAAATTCATTCCCAGGAGGGCGCAGCTGCCTCGCCTTGTATATCTTCGGTTGAAACGAATCCGTGAAGAATGCGGCGGTCTTGGTGATGATGACGTCATTCACAAATGACGAGTTGCCATCACTCAGGGCCAGATCTGCGACCAAAGCAAAATCCTCATCGTACACGCGTGCCGTGCCTGATAGGTTACAAGTAAGTGCGTTAGTCAGGCGAGACACGAATTAGAGGCAAACGCGAGATTTGTGGTTTTAAGTCATTTTGTCGCGAAGGGCCCTGGTTCGCTCGCGGTTACAGAGCCCGCCCGCACTGGTGCCGATTTCGAGTTGTTCCGTGACGTTTCGTCAAACTCTCACAATTATGTGTCAAGCCAAGCTTGTATAATATGGTGCCGTTGTTTGGATGCTTAATATTTACGAAGTCAAAATACCGCGAGCGAACCAGCCCTAATGCAGCCATGTAGCAATATCGCCAGAAGAGGTCAGTATATCACCCAGCCTCACGATAATATGCCAAACGAAGCACGTAAGCTGCAGACCATGAAGGGAGTGATGCAAACGTTAAATGACTGGATTCGTTCGCTCCATGCCAATCCCAACAAAGGGAACGTGTGCACGAATCAGACCTAAAACTTCGGTGTCAATATACTTGACAGTGCCGCATGGACACATGTGTTGCGAGCGCGTGTCATTATGCTTATTCTGAACCTCAGCTCCCATACCTTACGGAACGCTCTGTGGGCGCATCAACTCGACTTCCACAAAATTATGTCACACGCAGAGTTGCCATTTCTCTCCACCTTCGTTCTACGGTGCTTTCGTTCATTTTATCCTATGACATTGCATTGATTCACGAGTTCAATAGGTAACACACAGAGAATCGTCAATCGATCAACAGCCAATGGGAGTGAAAACCCATCGGACAGAGCAGATCTTACAAAACACATTAGTATGGTGGCGCACCTACAGGTCCCCCAGCGACGAAAAGATAGTCAGATCGGCGGTCGTGGTCCAGACCTACGGCGGGGCCCGGAGCGCCAAGCTCAAACACTTCGCCCTGGCCGGTTTCGAGATCGCCCTTCCAGATGTTCCCATCTGGATCATTCACGGGATGCGCAAACAAAGGGCAACTCTTTAGTCGTCAGCATGAAGGAAGGCTGAGACTATGAGTGAGAAATTGGGGGGGAAACCCGCCCGTCTCAACCAAATTGGGCGAAAGTGAAATAGACCAAGCCAACATCAACTTGATTGATGGGCCATAATAGTTCGTCGATGTGCGATATTATTACCATGTTGGTGTGCCCGACTGCGCAAATGGAGAGTTCGGGTATAGGTTGTAGGAACCTCCCCAGTACAGGCCAAGGGAACGCTACGGGGGCACAACGCCTCCAGACAACGACATGACGTGAGAAGGAAGGTGCACTCATAGCCGTGCATGCCGTAGTCGTTTGAGCATGGACCTCGCACCCTGACAAAGCCGGGACGGAGCACGCCGGCTTCTCATCGGACGGACCAGTGCGAAGGAGGGAGGGGGGGCAAACAGTTCCTGGATTGATGGAGGGGAAGCATGCGCGATCTAGTACCCTCCGTAGTTTCTGACCGAATCGGATGCACACGTTCCGTCGCTCGAGTGGCATCATTTTTCCCGGGATGGGACGAACTGATTTCTAGACCGTATGCCGATAGTCACCAAAAAGAACCGATCGGAAAGGGAAATGAAATGAACTCATCAAGAGCAACAGGTAAAACCCAGGCTAAGGTCAATGAGGAAATTGGTTGAGTTTCTCACTTAACAATGAGCCCACGAAGGCAGTCCATCCTTCGCCGTTGGTGATGCCTTCCGGAAAGAATCCTGTCGGCAAATCGATCACGTCCAGCCTCGACGAAGCTTCACTCGCGATGATCGCCCATGACGCTGCTAGCAGCACTCCAAACGGTCGCATCTTCACAAGAACGTACGTTGCCTTGATACCTACGTATCCTCGGAAAACGAACCCACGGAAGGAAGAGTTCATCGTTGAGGTGGTGAACAACACACACAGTGGTCGATTTAGCAACCGAGCCCTCCTTGACTTCCTTTTTCGGCGAGTTTGATGAGTGCCTGCACAGTATTGTCCTGTGGGGTCTTTCCCATAGACGACCCCGGTTGTTGATGACCCTAAGCGTGACGTCATACGTTCAGGACAGATGGGGATGACATCTCACACGCAATCTTACGGTGTGTCGGCCTAAGGTATAACCGCGGTATCGAACAACCTTCTCCACGACGCCATCTGTATGTGGAGGTGTACCGAATATCGTATGATAAGCAGAATTTGGCAAATGGCCGATCGAAGATCCATACATGGAGATGTTCCGATTCTACCCGCAACAACGACCGCCGCGTAGTCCGTCCAAAGCAATTGTTCTCTACACTCACGCCAAGGGGTGACCTTGGGTGACCTACAGACTACAGTCCTGCGGAAGTAATAGTATCACCCGAACTAGCGTCGCAGCTTCGTTGGGTATGGGGTAGGGGCTCAGGGATAGGGCTTGAGGGTTAAGGGTAAGCACTGTGGTTCTTCCGATCTGTCCTCTGGATCCTGTCAGCGGAGACACAGCAAAATCTCTACAAACATTCATGGATTGCACCCAAACTGCTGTGGAAGAATTTTCATCAGCCGGACAGTACCACGCGGGCGTCTTTACGTGTAGTCTATGATACAAGTTGACAATGGGAGCCTGCATCAAGACTACTCCGGGGTATCGCAACCATTCCTCCAGGGGAAAGCTACAGTAGATCTCCAGGAGCATGTTTGCGGGAAATCACGGAAATCAGGTACAGCAAGGAACCAGAGAGCAGGCTGCCGTCAAGATGGTCCGCCCAGGAACACTGTTGAGTCGCTGTTGTGCCGGCGTTGGGTTGCTGGCTACGTATGTCAAGCCAGTATCCTCTCGGGCTTACAGTGGCGAGACACGCTCATCATGTCGCCTTGGACAGGCGTTTGGCTCACAGTAGTACTGTGTGGACAAGAGGCATTCCATAGGACACGGGGAGTCTCTAAAGTCTACGTCTTATTCGGCAGTGCGTAACAAAAGTGGTTTCAGCGCGGCGCGGAAAATTACCCCACAGGTTCCGGTGGGCTGAACGAGTGGCGGTGTCAGTTGGGCGGTACAAGAAGACCGACTACGGTATGTACATGTGCAAGTGGTCGCGAGAGTACCTCTCTGGCGATTCCGACGATGGCATGAACGCCCATCGAGGTACAAGAAGTCCGGAAGACTGGGAGTGAGGAAGAGCTGTGTTGCCCGACGATCATACATCTCCGCGGTTACGTATAGCTGGCAAGAGCGCTCGCAGAGAAGAAACGAACCTCCCGATTGACGGCTGGCGGGAGACGTCGAATCTTAACATTCGGTTCTAAAACACAAAACGTTGGGCGTCCACAACCGTACTACAGTACCGTACACTCCTGCACACTGCGCGGGGCAGAAAACATCAAACATGGTACATTTAGCACTACGGTACATACATCGGGATTGTTTAATCAGCGCCCACGCACTGTGAGTGGTTTCAGATGCAGCAACGACGCGCGCGGGCACGGAAGAGAACAACGAGCGCGCTCGGCAAAACATCGTTTTCGACAGAAGAAGGATTCGTATCTTCAGACAGCTCGTTTTGAGTGCGCTTCCGCCCTACTGCTGCAGGCTCTTGGCTGCTGCAGGCTGCTGTGTACCGTTGTGAGTGCCAGGTGCGAGCACCAGAGTGCCACGAGCTTGGAGCCTACCGCTGATTGGAGATTGGGTTGGTGAACAATAATGCACACGAACTCGAGAGATGGCAGTGACCGTAGGACGGGCAAAAGACCGGCACCACGGTGTGATACTGTATCTCCCGTGATGCTCATGTGCCCGCAGCAGGATGGAGCGAAATATCTATCTCATACACCTTCAGCAGTACTTGTAGTCTGCTGCAAAACTATTGAAGTATGCTACAATACCAGCTTTCGTGGGAATTACAGTTTATACCTGTGGGAGATGGTGCAGGGAATGGTTTAGGAATGCGTGCCGAGTGTCGGTGTGTGTCCGTAGGCGGTATCGCAAGCAATTTTTTTACTGCTGTTTGGCGGGCCCAAAGCGGGGAATTTACGGGGCATTACCGTGGTTCTGGTTGGTTCTGATCGAGGTTCTGATTTTCACGAAGTTTCACGTTTCACAAGTCGTCAGCACCTCAGCACATCAGCACCCCTCAAGTTTCTTTTGACCCTGTCCCGAAGTTCACGGAGCACGAAGGATGCGCAACACCGCAGTAGCAGTAGCAGCAGCGGCAACATCAACACACGCAAGGCAGCGATGACAACCGTTCCGGGGCACTTGACGTGTAAGCCTTCAGAGTAGAGGGCCACAAGCTGACTCCTGGTGCCAGGGACTGGGCCACCGGTTGGACTTCATCAATCAGCAGTGCGGCACCCATGGAGGAAGCTTTGCCAGCCACACCACAGGAACTGCAACAACAGTAGCAAGCAGAATCAGCCGGCGGCGGAATCTTCTCATTCGGGCCAGCATTTCCGCTACATAGTCTTTCCGAAAAAATAGCTGTGCCAATTATGTGCCGAGATGGAGGTGGTGCCATGCCTCGGCAGGGGTCTGGTCTTTTGTGACACAACAAGTAAGAGTCTGAGTGCAGCACGTCTTCCTCGACCAGGTGAGAGCCGGTCCTTGAATTGCGCTGAGCTGGTAAAAGGCACGGCAGGTCACTTGGGGCAGGTGTGAAAAACATGGTAGACACCACTCTGTCGTTGGTTGTTATTGAGGTACATTTGAGTTGTTGTCGAGAAGATAAACATCGAGTCGCCACTGCTGTGTGCCGATCGCCATGTGTCGGTCAGGACATCACTACTGTATGTAACTCCGGCATACACCATCCTCTCAATTACTGTACAGCATCACCCAGTCGCCCGATCTCGTCGCTGGGCTGCGCTGACTACCCTGTAGATATGTTAAGCGGAACTGCCAATCAGCGTCCCTGGTAGTGGTGACATATGGTTGATTTCTAAGACGTTTGTGTGTGGCGAACAAGTCGAGAAGGGTCGGAGGCGTATATTACGCAAAAATTGAACCCGGTCCATACGAGTTCGAATGTGGTTTATACGGTAGGTTGTGTCATCCTGTTGGTTCTTTCGTAAGACGTCCCGAGCACACGCACCAGTGAACAAGCACAGAGTCTCACTCCCGAAGAGCAGCAGCGAAAACTCCTGCTGTAAAACAACGCGCCACAGCGAAGAGTTCTGCTCTTGTCGAAGGTGCAATCCCACCTGTATTCTTGAGCCCCGTTCACAAGGCGGCCAACATCTGACGTACAATTGTATGCATACAAAGCTTGTTGTTTTCGTGAAGCACCAGTTTGTTGCGTGTCACGGCCCGCCAAGACTAGAGGCAAACACCATACGCGGCAGTCTCAAGAAAGAATAACTAACAAGGATGCCCGAGAGGGTTCCGGTTCGCGGTATTCTGGTATCTGTGGATAGTCTAAGATCGTGACTTTTTCTTTGTCGGAATTCTTGCCTCACTCCCTGCGATATTTGGTACAAACTCTCGTCAAAGCCCCCATTATTTTTCGGTGTCTGGCGCGTTTGCCCGCTAGTTGACGGATGATGTGTTCTTGAGACCGCGCGTGCGGCTGCTATTACAACAAAGTCGTGCTTTTCTGTGTTGCAACATTTTCTAACGGCTTGTGAATTAATGAATGCATGATCTTTGAACATCATTTCCACTACCCACCTTCACCGAACGGCACCAAGCTAGAAATCTCTGCTTGGGCATCAGAAGTCTTCTCGTGCCCAGTGTTTCGGATGATCCGAACTGGCCATAGCTTGCCGCAAGACGTGTGTTGGACAGGGTGTCGGCAACTAGGCGGGCTCGCGCCGAGGAGAAAAGTTTGTTGTAATTAGTCGTCTCCACATACACACACACAAAGCCCCGGTGGGGGGGCGACGCCATATACGACAGGGGTACCTTGAACATCCCTGGAATTCCGTTCTACGTACCACACAAATTACCCGGCATTCCGTCCGCTCTTCCTCTTCTATGGAAACATCCCGCACCCTCCACTTGGCATTGCCACAAGTATATCAATCAACCTGCTGATTGATCCAAGCATCATCTCTCAGTAGCTCCAAAACACCAGAAAAAATACTCCGAAACACAACTCAAATCTGCAACACCAGCCTTATTGGCTAGAAATATGTCCCCATCCCCGATCATTCCAGTTGTAGTTCTTCGAACCATAGCAATCTAACTGCCCCCCAGCCTCGAACACCAGAAAACCATGGGCAAAATGTAAAACGTTGCCACCCCAGTTTGATCAGACACAAATAAACCCAAATCTAACGTTCCTGCCCCATACTCATCACGAAATTACGATGTAACTCAAAATCTCCCACGCGAAGCGCCTTCGTGAGAAAGTCGGCATGTTGGTACACTTACTCCATGTGAAAATTCGAAATCTCCTTCCTCCCGACAAGTTCCCTGATAAAGTGGTGCCTCACGTCGATGTGCTTGGAATTGCTGTTGCTCGTCGGATTCTGCGCCAACTAAATAGCCCCCTGATTATCCTCATGCACCGGAATGCACGGCATACCCGCATCTGGCAACATAAAACGCCACACCTGCCTCAGGAACAGCACCTCCTTCAGCACATCCGCAAGCGAGACTACTCCGCCAAGGTGTCCGATTTCCGCCTCATGCCGTACAAATTCATCAACCGCGAGTAGCCGTCCACGAGTTGCCCCCGCCCGGTGTTACAACCTTTCAGGAGAGTGGCGGCGATCACGACCGTGGGTGCATCCCTTTTACTGAGCGAGGAGACTATGAATGGGTATTGCACCTCCTAAAGCAGCGAGAAGAATCTGACAACAAATACGACTTTTTGGAGTTGATGTTTGACCCTGGTTATGCGAATGTG